CCCCAAAACCCCAAAACCCCAAAACCCCGTGTATCAAATGTTGGAACAAAACTTAGTTTGAAAATATTAGATAAAAAAGCTAATTAAGTAAATCAATTATTTATTTTAGTCCAAGTGACAGGCATCTCAAATTGAGTACTCTTTGCCGCGTTTTCCTTAAATGCTTATGCGCATTTTAAAGCATAATTCTGGATCTATCTTCTTATTTACAGGGATACCAAAGTGGAGAAAATTGTGGGTAGTTAAAGATCATTGACTAATTGGGAGGCAAAGTCCTCTGGACTGTTATCAGGATTTGATATATCCCAAGTAAATTGATCTTTCAAGCACCATTTGTCCCAGCTAATATCCAAACTAATTTCTACTAGATGCTCTTAGCCCATCCTATTGTTTATTGAAGGCCCTAGAGAAAATCTTTTAAAATTTGATTAGTTTTACAATATAGGTTATCTTAAGCAAATTAGATTAAATCGAATTCTTAGTCCCTCAAATCTAATTCTCTCTAAATCACAAATGCTATATGATTTGCAAAGTCTATAAACAATTATTATTTAATAAATTGCAAAAAAAAATACTTTCTATTTAATGGCTTTCATATTTTGAGAAAAGTTAAGCTAGATTATCAGCTAAATACCCAACTGCAAATACTTTCATGTCATGAACAGACTTATTGACCTTAGGCCACAAAAAATGATCACTTAAAATCATTCCCTCCCATTCTGCTTTGTAGGAAATATATACATAGTTCGTCCAAAGATCCTGTGTGTCCTGTTTTTCATTTAATCTAAGTGGTAGATAATCCTTGCGATCACCCATGTGGATACTAAGATCTCCTTGGTGAGCTATGTTCTAAAGGTGAGGCTTAGACTTCAAATCAGCTTCCAAGGCATTGATCTAAAAAAGAGAATCAGTTATCTAATGACCAAATTGTCTCTACTTACTTTTACAGTTTTGTCTATATCTGCTGCCGATGTGATATTCTATAAGGAGTTGATAGGGGTTAATGAATGGTGATTGACTAGACCTATAACTGGGTTTAATCTGATCTTTGTTGAGGTGTCTATCTAGGTTGAAGCCTCCAGAGACGATGTTGAGTTTTCTGAGCTCTGCACGTCTCTTTCTTTAGATTGTGCACTTAATTAGATTCTAATCAAGTGTCTGTCAGACATCTGATCATCACTTGAACATTTTGTACTTCTTTTCATATCAGAAGCAGATTTCACCTCGTGCATATCAATAGAAGCATCTTCTTGGCTGTTGATCTACTTGAGTAGTAGGTCAGGGAGAGACTACTAGTGGCTGAGAGTCCTTTAGTGTGATTGTTCTTTGATTATGCTAATAATCTCGTGGAAATTATTGATTATTTGAGTTTGACGAGTAGGTTTAATTTTTATTTTATTTAACTGATTTTTTGCTATTTTCAATAATACCTTGCCCCCTTCATAACTTATTTCTAGAGCTCCTTCGCTTTCAGAGGACCTGTGACATCTTCCCATTGTTTGCTACACTGATCTCATACTCTTCATCGAACCGCAATTTAAATCTTTCCTAATTCAATAAAAATATTATATCATATTTAATTACTAATTAAGTGAAGCTCACGAATTAAACAATATAAGAGCACATTGATATGGGACTTGATAGATAGCTTATAACTGATGGGTGTACAAATCAGCCCTGAAATCTCATGATTGGTTGTATTGCCTTTGATATTCTAGTTTTATCACTTAATTTAATGTTTTAGCTTAATAATTCTTTAATTAGTAAGTGAGGAATGAGTAATTGTGAGGTTTTTCTATGTATTTTAAGAATTAATTTAATTAAATTTTAAGTTATCGATAATGAATGCCTCTCCCTAGGTCAAGCAACCTAGAAATTTATTGACAACAAAAAAAACCCATTCCAAAGAAAAAAATGTCAGTTAAGTAAATAAGGAAAACCCCCGCTTGCTAAAAGATATTCAGCATAAACTTCCAAACGATGTACTTGAATACATAAGTTTTTGCCGTGATCAGCAATTATCAAGAAATTCCACTAGTGGTATGTCGCATACTGGTATGGCTAATAGCTTTATTTAATAGGAAAGTTCTTTGAGTTTCAACTCAGGAGAAAAGGTTTGAATGTCCCTTCCACTGAGAACATATAATCTCTCAAGGCAGAGCTCAGCGTCAAGCACAGCTAGCAAATAAAATAGAAATAAGGAAGCCAAGCAAATCAAAAATTAAAAGCAACAGCAATAACCAAGATAGCAAAGCCGTAATTCGAAAAATACTGTTAACCTATTATCAAGAGATAGCAATCCTACTTTTATATGCTAAGCTCCTCATAAAATAGAAGAGCAATATACAATAAGGAACGAAGATTCAGGACTGTTTGATTAAAGTCCCGTTAGAAGTCATGTCCCATAGAATTTAGAGCTAGACCTAGTAAAATTAGTAAATTTTAAGGAAACCGATGAAAACTAAAACAGAAAAATGGAAGACCTAACGACACCTACCCTATCAAAGATCAACACACGCTAAGATTCTCATTTACAGTTTACAAATAGAACAGATGCATCATAATCACCTAGTCTGTAAACATTTGATGACACTCAAGAAGCAAGGAATAGTATAATACAGACTCCATTAAATTTACTCCAGGAATTAATGGATCATGTTGCTTTTTATTCTCAAAGAAATTCAGAGCGTGCATCCAATAAATAATTTGAACTTTTTCCTTACAGCTAGTATGCTTGTGAATATGATGAGGATGATGAAGATTAAGAGGATGATAGTTTACCTATTGCGACTCCTCCATACCTTCCTCCAAAAAATGACGATGGTAAAATCTATACACTAGTACTAGATCTTGATGAAACACTTATTCATTTTGAAGATGTAAGATTATATTTCTTAAATATATTTTTAGACCTTAGATAACGACGAGGGAGACAAGGAAGTTTTCTACATGGTTAGACCAGGTGTAAATAAATTCTTAACAGAGCTTTCTTAATATTACGAGATAGTAATTTTCACTGCTGCTTTATAAGATTATGCTGACTGGATTCTAAATTCTATAGATCGTAAGAAGGTAATATCGCATAGACTTTACAGACAACATACTAAGAGGAAGAAGCATTTTGCGATTAAGGATCTTTCTTTAATAGGGAGAGATCTTAGCAAAACTATTATTATTGATAACATTGCTGAAAACTTTGAGTATACTAATGAGGATAATGGGCTTGAGATCATTAGTTGGTATGATGATCTCGATGACTAAGAACTTGACAAATATATACCATTTTTAATAGAAATGGCTATTAGATAAGAACCTGATGTAAGGGAAATTATTAAAAGATATAGAGACGATTTTACAGCCTATGTTGAGAATAGGCCGTCTTATTGATTTATTTTACTGTGTAAATAGTACGGATACCTTTGAACCAATATTTAAATTGAGTATAGTTTTTGTGTGCTTTAATCACTAAGTTTTTATTTATACCTATCATAATCTCATATAAAACATACTTCGGGGTTTTGGGGTTTTGGGGAGATCGGAAGAGCA